TACAAACTGTACATGGAATGTGACTTGCATAATCGTATAGAAAATGACTGAGAATCTTAGATGAGTGTAAACTCAACTACACGAGTGTCAACTCAACTACACAACTGACGGCGACTCGGCATGTAAACTACGCCAACGTAAATCAACTAAATCGATAAGGCTACCAAATTAAGTCTAAACATAACAAAAGTCTTCTCAAGTAATTCTCTAGTAACTCCTCAAACGTTACCTACCTCTTTGGCAGCATAAACGTTACTTGGGCAGCGAAAAAGACGAAAACTAGATGCAGTGAAATGAGCGTTTCACTTCCAGTGAAAGCGAAAAATGGCGTCTGCCCCAATCCTCGTACAGAGCGCGCACAACACCAAAAACTGCCGTGAGATAAATAAACGAGTGGGAGCACTAAAAGAATCAGGAACAAGTCTAAACAACAAAACTACAGTACCTATTAGTATAACCTGTAGTAAAATTCGAAAGAAGACGTCTTTCACGTGTACATAGCACGCCGACAAGTGAACGAGGCTAAACAAAGCGCGGGAACGCAGCAAAGTTTCGGTTGCTCGGGCAACGGCAGCCACACTCCCATCCAAATCATCCAAGATGATTTCTAAAAAGAGGAGGTATTCGGAATAAACAAATATCGCCTTATCAATGTAAAACATGTGAACGATCATGGTCAACTACTGTGTCTACTCAGTAGAAGAAGTAACATCATTTCAATCCTTCATGACAGGAAATGAGAAGAATCAGCTTATGAATTGGACGGTCTAAAAATGTTCTATTGTAAATTGGTTTACCTGTTTTATCTAAGTTCGGAGTGGCCATTAGTAGCTTTACCTTTTTCACAAGACCATCACTAGAGGGATAGGTCTCTTTAGCTAACCTCCAATCAGAGCGAAAGATGTTCTCGTCCTTTAGCATAACTATATCACCAACTCTTGTATTTTCTTTGGTACCTTGCCAGGTTTTCCTTGACTGAAGATTGTACAAATATTCTTTTTCCCACCTTGTCCAGAACAGATTAGCCAGATATTGGACTCTGCGCCACCTCTTTCTCGCATATATATCTTCCCTCACAAAATCTCCAGGAGGTGGAGGGGTGACAATTCCAGACTTCATTGTGAGAATATTGTTTGGCGATAGAGAAAGGAGTCCATTAGGGTCTTCCAAATCATCCAGCTGGGTTCCATTCTGGATCAGGATTCCATCTAAGACACTTCTGATAGTCCGGATCTGCCTCTCCCATACTCCGCCCATGTGGCTTGATGAAGGAGTGTTAAATAAGAACTCACAATTTTGGGGGAGAAGTTTTCTTGCGATACTATCAATGTTTAACTTGTTAAGATTCTCCTTCAATTCATGACTCGCACCAACAAAGTTGGTTCCTTGGTCACAGTGAATCATGAGGACCTTTCCTCGAATGGCAATAAGGCATCTCAATGTATTGATGAACGAATCCGTAGACATATCATCTAAGACCTCAATATGAACAGCTCTTGATGCGAGACACGTGAAGATTAACCCATACCTCTTCAGCTCCTTTCGTCCTTCTTTGATCATAAACGGTCCAAAACAGTCCAGTTCACAGTGGGTAAATGGTGGAGAGGGTTCTGTCCTGTCTTCTGGGAGGTTTGCCATTTTTTGTGTCACTCTTCTTCCTCTCAGTTTTTTGCACGTAACACAGTTTTGGATCAGGGACGACACTGTCGAACGACACCCAACAATCCAGTATCTATGGTTCCGAATCTCGTTGATAGTCATGCCTCGACCTTGATGACCTATGCAGTCATGATAATGACTTGCAACCAATGTTGAGAAATGGTTTCTCTTTGGCAACAAAATTGGATGCTTCACTCCATATAAGAAGGCTGACCTTTTCAATCTGCCTCCCACCCGTAGCAAACCATTCTCATCGAGAAAGGGGTCCAGGTTCTTTAGAGAATCTACTCTACGACTAGAAGTGTATCTCTTCTGGAGATTCTGTATACTGTCTTTGAATGCTTCTTGCTGTATAACTCTGATAAGGTTTGTCTCTGCTAAGTTTCTAACCTGTATTTTGGAGAATAGCTTTCACCGTTTCTTAAGTGAACATTCAACAATGACTGCCACTGCTGTCACTGCCTTTGAATAGCTAGAAAATCTGCTCATCCTCTCTATGAAGCTAGTGAACTTCATTCTCTGTACAATATGTACAACTGTTGGTTTGACCTCTACATCATCTGGTGGGATTTCCAAGTCAATGTCTGCAGTCTGAGGTGAAGCCTCCGTTTCCCACAAAAACTTAGGGCCTGTAAGCCAGTTGGATTTGGCGATTTCATCAGCTGTTAGACCACGTGTGGCATGATCTGCAGGGTTAACAGTGGTTGGAACATATTTCCACTGTGCTGGCTGGGAAACTTCTCTAATTCGTTGAACCCTGTTCGCGACAAACATCTTGAGTCTCTTTGTATCATTCTTTATATATCCCAAGACTACCTTGGAATCCGTCCAAAAATGATGTGACATGTCTTTATAGCCCATTTCTGTCTCAAGAACCTTAGAAACCTTTGCTGAAATTGTTGCAGCTTGTAGTTCCAGTCTAGGTATAGTTACAGGCTTCAATGGGGCAACTCTGGCCTTCGCCATGACTAAGGCACAGTGTACCTTCTCATCTGTGGTCTTCAGACGCACATATGAACATTGTCCATAACCAGAAAACGATGCGTCAGAAAAAGTGGTGAAGTTGTACTGAGACTGCTTGACCCAAACCATCTGGAATGAAAGCATCGCGGAATTTTGATCTCACTCAGTTTCAACAGCTCAGCTTTCCAGCGTTCCCAATCTGGACGAAGATCATCTGGCAATGGGTCATCCCCAATCTGATCTGTCCTGGCACATTCTTTGAAGTATCATCTTCCCAACTAAGACTAAAGGCGAAATAAGACCTAAGGGGTCGTAAATTGAGGCAACTGTTGCTAGAATCCCCCGACGAGTCAAGGGGTGATCCTTTAATGTCAACTTAAAACAAAAGGTATCTGAATCGATGCACCACTGTATACCTAAAACCTTCTCTGGCAAAAAACTCTTCTGACTGGGTTCAAGGTCAGTCTGTGTTATAGTCGCTCTTTTGGACTCTGGAAGACTTAACATTACCTCAGAATTATTACAACTTATTTTGTGTAGCCGCAAGTTACCCTTTTCATAGATCTCAACAGCATTGTGAATGAGATCCTTCATAGCTTCAACACTTTGTTCCGACTTCAACCCATCATTAACATAGAAGTTGTTTTTCAAAAATTCTGAAGCGTTCTCTCCAAGGTGCTTGTAGTCCTTGGCAAGTTGTTATTTAGCCGAAGTTCGCACATGCTGGCGATGAAAACAGATCCAAACAAAATGGACTTTCTTCCTAAAGACTACTGGGGGGGTGTGTGAA